TTTCAAATATTTCCTATCAAGAGTGGCTTTAATGAAGATTTCTGTGTTTAATTTTTTACTAGGAAAAGTGCAGCCTACAGGACACTCTAAGGGAAAACTGCCAGTGCTTTTGGCTGGTAGTGCCCTGCCTTGGTTCCCCCTCTGCTGCAGCTGGGCATGCCCCATGTGCCTGGCAGGGCCATGGGGAGCACAGCGAGATGACACTTCTCAATTTCCTTTAGCTTTCTTTTTTTCCTTCACTTTCCTAACTTTTTGCTTTAATGTTTGTGCCTCTTCTATGAAAAACTGTAAAAAAAGGTTATGTTAGTTACTTTTCCATGGGTGTTAGGGAAACCCATTTTCTTATTCGGTGTAGAATAAAAGGACCATGCAATAATGGAGTCTGGCACCAGGCGTATCTCAACGGCCTGCATTTGGAAAGCTCATCTCTGGGGCTGAGTTCATATGTTCTCTCTCCTCACATCTAAGGAGTCCCATTTTGGACACTAGAAAAGGAGAGAATCAGAACTTACAAAATTAAATTCTTCCTTCTGGGTTTGGCCTTTTGCAAAATGAAAATAATGATGAAATGGTACTAGTGAAATCAGCTGCCTGTTGACTCTCCAGAAAACGTTTAATGACACATCAGAACTAGCTAAAAATGTATGAACATAAAATTAAACAAACTTGATATTATTTTAGCTTTACCCAGAAAAAATACTTTCAGTACAAAAACAGTGAAAGAATTGTGCTTCATTCGCATGGCAAAAATGTCCTCCTCTGAGAGGGCCGACAGCAAGAAAGCAAGATGAGAGCAGTTCAGTCGTTTTTGTGCAGATGAGGCCATTGCTTTACCTTAAATGCCTTTTTTGGCCTGATAAAATTTAATGTAACAGCCATGAAGGTCCTAATTCAGTTAAATGTGTATGTATGGAGTTCAGCATATGCTTATGGATATAATTCCTAAATACTGCTGGCAATTTGGTCCTATTAAGTCTAATCACTCTTGTGCTCTGGCTTTCTCTCCTTGAAAAGCAAGAGGGAAGTTTCTCTTTTCCATACAGTGAAATATTAATACAGGGGATTTAAAATGGCTTCCGTAAGTGCTTTGGAACAGAAAGAGGTCACTCTAATAAACAAAAAACCCTCCATCATTTAAAGATTACTAAAATTGTGATGTCAAAAGCTTAAATTTTAGGAAGTGCTAGATAGAGCATGGAACAATCCTTTTGATTATGCTGGCTAGTTTTTAGTGACATAATCATAAACTATTTCTTCATCTTTAGTCTGTGGGGACATTTATGAATTTAGATTCTTTGAAGATTTATAAATTGGTCGAACATTTAGCTGATTTTCACAGAAAGGTGAAAAATACATCTCTGGCACAGTGGCTACCATTCAACTACATTTCAGGCTGGTGTTCAAAAGGAATTTCTCAAACAAAAGGTCAACAGGATTTTCTAGGATGGAGGGGGAAAAAAAGTCCCTTTTCCTCATTCTTGCAAATGGTTAAGTTATAATAGCTGATATATGCCAGAACAATATAGCTTATACCAGACTTCATGACATGCATCACTTAAAATTGGCAAGGTTTATCAAAGACAAAAGTATCTGAAAGTCTTATAAGGGATAATATGTATCAGTCATAAGTAAAATAGCTGTTGGTACCTACTTCATCTGCAGTGCAAAAAGCACCAGTCACTGGTGCTCACAAGTATTCATTTTTTGTAGGAATAAGAAAGCTGCACTGCGTAATAGCTTCTTTTGTGCATATCATTAGAAAAAGCTATTTAAAATAATCTAATAAAGGGATTTTTTTTTCTCCATTAATTTTTTGCTGTGGTTCTCCATGATCATAAAGCTGTCTTGGCAATCCAGTGAAAATGCAAAATCTGTATAAACATTGGCATTTTGTCGGGGAAAACTGATGCAGGTGCAAGACTAGATGAAGGAAGTGTGGCAGGGTGGCTGCAGTAAGTGTGGCAGGAGGTAATGACATGCTCCTAATTTGACAGAGCTGACAGCTGCAATTGGAGCAAACGGTAGTTTGCTAATCTCTGAATACAGATATAACAACCTAGATTTCCTTGAATGTTAAGGATTAGATAAAACTCACTGCAATTCTACATCTTGAAATTGAATGCTGCTGCAAAATCCCTGCTGATTTTGTTCGTCTTTTCTCTCATAATATTGAGAAAAGTGCTGACATAAATCACTTCAGATTTTCCATTTCCCCCTAATTCTTAAATGCAAGTGTAAAATCTAGATTTTCTTCTTTCCTTTTAAAACTGTAACTGTATACCATGGTTATGAAAGGAAAAAAAAACTGACCAGGGTCCTTCCCCTCTCCACAACCTGCTGACAGCAGCATGCTACGCTCTCCAAAATGAACTGTGCATTCAGTAGAAATGCCTTCAGCAAAGTTGTCTCTGTGGTAGGTGGCTGCTTTCAGATCGCTGACCCCCTGGGCTGTTCACCAGCCGCCCTCCGCCTGCCTGATCCCAGCTCCAGTGAGACCTCCCAGGCTGCTGCTTCCTTCCTCCCTTGCTACATTAAGAACACAATTCAGGACATTTTCCTCATTTTAATGGCCAGGGAGGGAGAACTAACAATGTCTCCCTTGACATAAAATGTCATCTTCTGTCCTGAATGCTTGGCTATTGACAGACAACTTCCTCGGAGTTTGCCCTTTCCTCCTTCACTGTCAGGTACTAACATAAAACTCCTCCTGTTTTCTCCTTTTCCCCCTAATGATCAAATTTTGAAATACAGCAATCTCTTTTCCCACCTCGCTAGTGACTGACATTCAAACCCTTCAGACTCCCCTGCCTTTTTTCCTCTTATTGCATACTTTTAGACTACAGATTTCTGTAGTTCTCTCCTCCTTGCTGTGGAAGTAGCATCTCATAGGCACCAAAGCCACATTAGGGGATGAATAGAGAGTTGCCCAGCATGGGCAACTGGCAGGAAGAAAGCAAGAGGAGGGAGAGTGAAATGTCTTGAAACTCTAGCTTCTCTGCCTTGTGTGGTGGTCATACTATTTTCTTCCATATGCCAGTCAATATCAACCTGTTTTCTGATGAGTGACATGTCTAGTTATCAAAACATTTTAAAGGCTAGCACTTTGTCACTGAGGGTTGTATTAACTTCCAAATTTAAAAACTTGGTTGATTTTCAGGATGTTGGTGAATGTATTTGTGTTATTAGCATCCAGAATGGCTGAAAAGTCCTGTTTTTTTTCTCATCATCATAGTAATCTCTCATTCTCATCAGCTCTTTCTTCCTCAGAAATATGGATAGTGGATAACCAAGTGCCAAGCTGAGGTTTTCAACAAACAACAATGGTTTTCTGGGAAACAGTTAAGACATAACAAAAACATTGTGAATGATATAATCGAGTCTGGAAGGAATACCTGTTCCCGGGGAATGAAGATAAAACGTTGATAGCTTTGGTTTTTAGGCAAAGGTATTTGGTACCTTCTGTACAGGCATGCAACTCGCACCAGTGTCAACAGGAGTTTAATGTATGGATTGAGAACACAGTATGGCCTGTAGGCTTGGTATATCAGATCTATGAAATATGACTTAATCTTCCTCGCAATCAGCATGTGGAGGATGAAATTAGAAGTGGCTGGTTTTACTGGAATAGCCACAGAGCATGAGCTTTTAAAACCTCCTGGGTTTTTGTTTGTGGTTTTGTTTTGTTTTGTTGTTCAAAATGTTCAGTAGTAGCAGCAATGTTTGGTTATCAGTAAGTAACAATTTGAGCAAAGTAAAGAAGGTTGTGCCCTTAGGGTCTCTCTGCCTGTGCTCTTAATGTAGTATGCTCTTGACTGGAGGAGTGCATGACACGAAAGCATTAAAGTCAATGTTGCGGAGAGTAAAATGTCTTTCCAAAGACATGCTTATTTTCAGGCTGTCTCTCTTGTAAAATACAGATGCTACCCTTCTAGCTCCAAACACATTTCAGTGTCCAAAGGGTGTTGGTATGGATTTAGCTTACAGCCTGCATTATTTGGGGGCCTTTGTCTGGACATGAGAAAAAAAGCCCAAACACTTCCTTGCCTGAGCTGAATTCTTGATAAAAGTTGCAGAACAAAAAGTTGGCAACTTTTCCACCCTCAACGGGATCATCAGATTGAACATGTTGGCTGTGTGCTCTGGGTGTGTTTTACCACTTGCTGCTTTAATCATATGGAAGCCATGGTTCAGGCTGTGTGTATGCTAATGGCAGAGGGGATTGAAGTGCTGCAGCTCAGCAGTTTCTTCCCCTGCCAACTTTTACTTTCATTTAGAAAATATTTTCTGAAGTGGTCTAAGCAACATGTGCTTTACCACAAGAAAAGGAGGGCTGCATTTGTCTATCAACATTGCCAAAGGGACACAATTTTTTGGGGAATGGAGTGGTCATGTGGGGTGCTCTGGACTCCTCACTCTTCTGGAAAGTGCCTGGCTTTAGCAGGAAAGATGAAAGCTGCAGATCTGCATGGGAGGACCTCATCCATTTCTCCCAGGTGGCAGAGCTCCCACACAACTGCCAAAATGGCCAAATAGTGCAGATTAGGGCATTCCGAGCATTACGGAGAGCTGAGATGTCCTTTCAGAATAAGCTTGTATTTCACATCATTTCCCTTTTCCTAATGAGGGCCATGAGATTGTACACCCTGTGTTTGTCTCTCAGTCCTTTCCTAAAACTTTTGAAAACATTGGCTACTTAGAAGTAAACTGGAGAGGGCAGTGGGGACTGACAGGTACTAAGCTGCTGCATTTACTGTGAAAGTTGGTGTCTGGGGAGAGGTGAGGCCCCATGAAAGCACCCACAGAACAGTCAGCACAAGTCTATCTCATCAGACAAAAGCAAATGTCATCCCTGTGTACTATGTTCACAAGAAAGCAGGATTTGCCAGTTCCAGTGCTCACAAGGCTGCTAGTTTGTTTTACAGCAGATGATAATGCCCCTTGCTGTGCTTCCTGACTTCTGTGCTAAGGGAACATAGTTATCCCCCTGTTCTCCCCATCCGCAGTGGTGGCTGGAGCACAGCTGAGCCCTCAGCACAAGTCCTAGCAGTCTCTGCAGACACCAAATCCAACTTGGCACC